AGGCAGAGGTTGCAGTGAGCCGAGATCGCACCATTGCACTCCAGCCTGGCCAACAACAGCAAAACTCCATCTCAAAAGAAAAAAAAAAAAACTATCTGTTCTCTATGTTTCTTTTGTGACAAAGTGCACAAATATCTTCTTTTCATACACCTATAGCAATTTATACTTTACTATCAAAAATATACTTTGAAATTTCTGTGAAATTCATATAGTATTCCTTTGGCCAAATTTTAACTCATGCTTTAGAGTTGGTTATCCATATATGTGCTATGACTCTACCACCAAAGCTTCAAGTTACATGTTAAGTCTGGGGAAGCCAGTACTTTGCTCCTGCCTGGGTATTGTTCCAGGAATATCCCTCAGCAACTGCAGAGACCATCCAGTCTATTCCAATTTTAACTTGTGCACGACTGTCTGAGAGACCACAAGCTAAATTCATGTAAATTGCTTTCTAAGATGAGTATCAGAGCTGAAAAGAATATTAAAGGATTGGTCTTTTCTTTGGAGCTCTAACACTCTTAAGAAATAGAAACATGAAACTACAGGAGGTTCCTTGATTATTTGTTGTTTATTTCAATTGACAGCTCTCTGTGAGTCCAACACATAGTTCAATAAATTCAAAGTAAACATATTCTGTTTTTTAAAAAGTTGATGTTTAATAATATCTACCTATTAACCATGTAAAATTGCATTGCAGATTTTGATTTTAACTTGTGACATTTAAAGGTACATTAGATGAAAACTTTTACATTTCCTTTGACTTAGATTTGGGAACTTAGTGCCATTCCCAATGCTCAGTTATCATCTTCAGCTCACCATTTCAGATGCCTCCTAGTAGCTACTTTTTTTTACTGCTTTCAGATTATCTTTGTTACATTTCTGTTCTCAGTGTTACTTTTGTTCATTTTTTATCAGTTGCCTAAAGTACTTTTGAAGCAAAGGAAGCATAAATTCTAAATTACTCAAACTTCACAAGTTAAAACTGCTTTAGATGAGGCCTCTAGATATTTTTGAAGAAAATTAGTACAAAACTTTTTAAGTTTTCAAGGCTGTTGTCTTGCATAGCTCCAAGAAGCACCATTCAGGTATCCTTCACCTCTGTAAATAGTTGTACCTTCGAGTGGTACAATATATTGTTATGTTCCTTTACGTAACCCATGTGAATGGCTACTTGTGTTGCCTCTCTGTGTGGAGACAGAGATATCTGTGGTGATAATTCTGTAAGTGATACTGTATGAAAATAGTTTCTAGAGACAGGAGGAATTACCATCTGGGAGATCATAATCCGCCTTACCTGAACTGTGGTTTCCTGCCAACAAGGTGGGGCTCACAGAGCATCTTCCCAGTCTACTGGTGACCACAGGTGGCCCTGGTGTTCCGTCCCATTCCTGAGCTTTGACAGGCTCTCTGGAGGAAGACGCCCCATGGTGGCCTCTTTCCTTGTTGTCCAACTTTGGTAATGGCTCCGTGCTGTGGCTTCGGACTTTCAGTTCCTCTGTTGATTCTGTGTAGTAACCAGAATTATATTCTGTTAAACAAAAGGAAAGCTCTTCCTAAATTACTTTCAAAAAATTAGTGTGATTTTCTAAAATCGTCTCAATATGTTGTTGGAAATTCAGACTTGGAGACTACAACATCTAAATGTAACAGAAACATAGACTCCAGGGGGCCTTTTTTCTGAGTTGTGTAGGGTAGTATCTCTGAGAAATACAATATTCTTTTTGGAAAAAGAGTACCTCGACGAATCTTTAGTAACTCTTCCCTTGCGCTCATCTTTGAGTATACTTATTTAAGAGCACTTCACACTCACTCTCTTTACTTTCTAATCTTTACAAAAATTCAGCCAAACCATTCTATCCATTCTGCTCCTGACAAAATCACCCAGTGCCTTTTATTTGGCAAATGTATAAGCCTTTTTTTTCAGCCATTTGACAATTATTTGATTACTCACTAATTTATATCTTCAATTCTCTTGACTTTGTGGATGGTTCTTCCTCCTGCATTGTGTTCTATATCTAACACCTTTCCTTCGTCATTCATGTCATCTCATCCTCCATGCATCACTGGCACATTGGTCATTTCCTAGGTGCCAGCTTAGCCACTGTGCTGCTTATGCTACATATATTCTTTCTGTGATTTTTGTCCTCTAGGATTCAGCTAGCAATCACCTAATTGTTAGTGATTTCTAAATATTTTATCAGATGCCTGGACCATTCTTTTTATCTTTAGATTCATTTATCCAACTGCCTGCTAGGTGAATCCATCTGGAGTCCCCATATGAACATTTCAGATACTGAACTGATAATTTCTTATTAAACTATTTGTTCTTTCTGTCCGACCAACTATCCAAGCTAGAAGCATGTCTCTCCCTTTCTTTAAGTGCTAATCCCCAAATCTATTAGAAGATTCTGCAGATTTTATTTCTGGATGTCTTGCTCTCACTTCTCTTCCACTTTGTTTCATGCCTACCTCAACTGCTCTGGTTCAGCTCTAATCCTCTCACTTGATTTACTGCAACTTGTCTCTGACTATCCTTGACTCCTCAAAGCATAAGTTCCTTATACTGCCAAAATGATCTGTTGGAAATGAAAATCTGATCATAATGTAACCCTGAATAAAATCCTTTCAGAAGCCTCCTGTTGCCCATAGAATGTCTAAGCTCTTCACTATAATCGGCAAGAATCTCCAGCTTCTTGCTCTTTCCTTCCCCTCTAGCTTTGTCGTTCCCCGTTAACCTCCCTGTATTACATTCGTTGTAGGTTCTTCCTCCCCACTCCAACCCCAGTAAACATAACGCTGTTTTCCACAGCTATTACCACCCCTCCTTTGAATTCCCTTATGTCTTGTCTTTCTTTGGTTAACTAACTCTACTTACTCCTGGTTACTCAATTTAAGTATCCTCTGAAGCCCTCCCACCCATTCACAACTCTTGCAGGGTCATGGTCATCTCTGCACTGACCTTGCTTTATAGTTGTATACATCTGCTCCTCCCAAAAGGCCTTGAGTTGTTTTAAGGTAGGTATTGAGGTTTTGTTTGTTTTTAATTTTTTAAAAAATGGTTGACTCCACCACCTATCATATTGCTCAATGAATTTTTAATTTATTTATATTGCAGATTTCTCAGCTCTTCACACATCTTTCTGATCTGTGTAGGAAATGTAACATTCCTGATGGAACTGGAAAATCAAGTTATAATAAGTGTGTTAATGGAGCTAATAGTATTTTCAAAAATCTGATTATCTAATAACCACAAGCTGTAGAATTCACCAGGTTAACAGTTTAATTCAAATAAGGAAATTTTTAGAAAATCACAGAATTGATTAAAAATATCTGATTATTTTTTACACTTGGGTTAAAATCCTTATCGACTTTGAGCAGTGTGATAACACAAATGTCACACTTTGGTTCACCATTATCTGAATCTGTGGGACACAGATAGAACAGGCTGTCATACATTGAGCAGTCTGAGTCAGGAATCTCACAGGCCTCAGCTTTGCAACTCTGGCTGTGACCCATGTCACTTTTTGGGGAGCCTCATTTTTCTTACCTACAAAACAAAGAAAATACCAGCTCTACCTAACTTCCTTGATTTTATTTTAAAAATCTTATAATATTCTACAGTTTAAAGTATTTTGAAAACTAAAAAGTGCCAGACACATAAAAAGTAGTATTCAGTTAAACATAGTCATTTGGCCTTTATGAGTTTATTTAATTTTTCTATATTAGATAATCACTAAGGGTCTTATACAAATGGAAAATTGCCAGATAACATTTAGAAACAGAACTCTAGCCTATTATCCACAGTAGCTAGCTTCGGAAGTCAACCTATGAGGTACCAGTCACACTCGTAGGGAGTAGACCCGTCTCTAGGAAATAATCCTAAAAGCTAAACAACCACCCATGTAAAAATTGACCTCAAATAGTCAAGACAAGAGTAACAACTTAGCTTCCCAATTTTTGGCCCAGTTTCCAACTTAGGAACAACTGAGGAAAAGTAAATATATACCTTTAACCAATCACAGAGAATGCTCCATTTCTAGTGTGCTCACCTGCCACTTCCCCAAGTTAACAGTCCCCAATCAAGGTATACTTGAAGACTTTTCATTGTTGCTGATAAACGAAAAACTTTAGACAAACTTAATTTAGCAGAGTTTATTTGAGAAAAAGAAAGGATTTGTTAAATGGGCAGCACCCTGAACAAGTAAAGGCTCAGAGATCTCTGTCCAGCAACCTGGTCAGGCAGTGTTTATAAAAAGAAAAAAGAAATAACATATAGAAATATCCTGATTGATTACAAGCCATCCTTCACCTTATTTGGACATGTTTTGACAGTTTGCAGTCTGTGATTGGCTGAAAACTTGGCTGCTATGATTGGCTAAGACTCAGCTACTTGTTACAATAATATACTCTTATGATAGGTTGTAGTTTATTTACATACTAAGTTAGGTTGCAATTCATTACATATGGAGGCAGTTTTAGGCCAAATTTATTTGAACATTTTCCCCCCATAAAGCCCTCCTACTCCTCTGCCTGCCTCTGAGTCTTTGCCAAATGCAAGCTCTGAATAAATAGCCTTTGCCTGTCTCTTTTGTTTGATCCTCATTTATTTCTACATTGCTATAGTCTCTTTCAGCTCTAAGATGCTATTCAGTTGTGTAAATACATGTCATGAAAAACATTATATGAGATTAACTTAAATCAGAAGGGTAGTTCCATAACAGTTTCAGAAAGATTTCAGGTTTTTAAATGGGCCTGTATATAAACTTGTTTTAGTTATAATGAAATCAAGTATAAGAAGTCTAAATTTTTTTGGAATAAACATGTTTCAGAGATTTATTAATGATTAATGATGAAACAAGTAAGATAGTAAAGCTGGTCCAAAGAGCATTTGTAGGACCTAAGTATTTATAGACATTTTTAAAAGAATGTTAGAATAAAATTGCTAGGTTAGAAATAAAACTGGTTGTGGCTGGGCATGGTGGCTGAAGCCTGTAATCCCAGCGCTTTGGGAGGCAAAGGCAGGTGGATCACCTCAGGTCAGAAGATCCAGACCAGTCTGGCCTGGCCAACATGGGGAAACCCCATCTCTACTAAAAACACAAAAATTAGTTGGGTGTAGTGGTGGGTGTCTGTAATCCCAGCTACTTGGGAGGCTGGGGTATAAGAATCACTTGAACCCCGGAGGTGGAGGTTGCAGTGATCCAAGATTGAGCCACTGCACTCCAGCCTGGGCAACAGAGCAAGACTTTGTCAAAAAGAAAGAAGGAAGGAAGGAAGGAAGGAAGGAAGGAAGGAAGGAAGGAAGGAAGGAAGGAAGGAAGGAAGGAAGGAAGGAAGGAAGGAAGGAAGGAAGGAAGGAAGGAAGGAAAGAAGGAAGGAAGGGGAAATAAAATTGGTTAATGTCCTTAAGGAAATACCATTACAACCTTTAGAGTCATCTTTCTACCAAATAGAAATAATTTGCACCTCTAGTTGGGGGCAGGAGGAGGGCATTTGGATGGTAATCAGTACTCTGCAGAAAAAAATAAAGCATGGAAAAATAATTGAAAGCAGGGGCCAGGTTCAATGTCTCACACCTGTGATCCCAGCACTTTGGGAGGCCAAAACAGGAGGATCATTTGATCTCAGGAGTTCCAAATCAGTCTGGGCAACATAGTGAGACACTGTCTCTACAGAGAAGGTAAAATTAGCTGGGCATGGTGGTGCAAGTTTGTAGTCCCAGCTACCTGGGAAGGTGAAGTAGGAGGATTGCTTGTGCCTTGGGATGTCAAGGCTGCAGTGAGCCGAGATTGTGCCACTGCAATCGAGGCTGGGAAACACACTGAGACCATGTCTCAGATAACAATAATACTAATAATTGAAATCAGGAGCTCAAATAGGTATTCGTACATCCAAGTTTATGGTAGCATTATTCACAAGACAGAAGCAACCGAAGCGTCCATCGATGACTGGGTCAACACAACGCGGTACAGGCATACAGTGGGGTATTATTCAGCCTTACAAAAAAAGGAACATCTGGAACATGCTAGCACAAGGGTTTATTGCTACTGGAAAGACATTATCCTAAATAAAATAAGTCAGTCACAGCAAACCACCATGGCATGTATCTACCTATATAACAAATCTGCATGTTCTGCACATGTATGCCATAAAGTATAATTAAAATAAATTTAAAAACTGTATTAAAATATACCATAACATAAAAAGTGCTATTTTAACCATAATTTCTTATAAAAATATAAATACATATAACATAAAATTTCCCATCTTAGCTATTTTTAAGTGCATAGTTCACTAGTGTAAAGTGCATTCATTTTGTTGTATAATCAATCTGTAGGGCTCTTTTTGTTTGGCAAAACTGAAGGTCTATACCTACTTATAACTCCTCATTTCCTCCTCCCTTTGGCCCCTGGCAACCACTCCTCTACTTTCTGTCTCTAAGAATTTCACTATATTAGGTAACTCATGTAAGTGGAATCATATAGTATTTGCCTTTTTGAGAAG